TTCCAATATGAGAAGAAACACAATCCTACGATCTAGACTGTAAGATCTTTACAATGGTATTATTACCAAAGAACACTATGTCCAGAGCTGCAAATTTGAGATGAGGTCTTGAGGGAAGCAAACAGTAAGAGTTTAAAAGAGGCTTCTCAGTTATTTTTGGATGCCTCTTCTTTGAATAAATACCTACCTCAGCAGCAGTGAAACATAGAGTCCTTTAAGCTGTCACTATTGACTCTGCCTCTGCTTCCAACATTTGTTTTGATTCCTTAACAATGTTCAGTAGATTTTACCATATGCTGTGTTGCACCTGAAGACCTGTACATATGTTCCTCAGCACTTGGCTAGTGAGTCCACTAGAGAAGAGTCTCACTAAAGGAGTATCCCAGTCCCTCCCCTATAGATGAAAATCCAGCATGGTCAGTATCATGTTGAAGATGCTGGTCCTATAAGTTGCCAAATAAAAGTCCTAGGCAGGCAGGCATATGAGTCAGGGTAACTGAAAGTTACCCTTTCGGGGTGTGTGTGTGTGCGTGCGCGTGCGTGTGTGCGCATGTGTATGTACATGTGCATGTGTGTGATTAAGGGAGTGATTACAGATAAGACAGAACAGAGTCACGACAGAAGGTGAGCTTATTCACTTTAAAAATGAGGATTGAAAAAATATGTCCAAAGATCCCCATGGCGATCTTAAAATAATTTCTGAATGGCTGGTAGAATATAGCTTACTTTTGTTTCTAAATAGCTTCAAACTTAAAAGCACACAGGCAATTGAAGTGTAGACAGACAGAGCTTGTAGGTTGGCCTCAGAAAGACATCTCAGTTCTGAAAATATTGATAAATCCTATCTTGATCCTGCCTCTCTCTCCAAGCCCCTGAGAGTTTTAAAAAACATATTTATTAAATAAGCTAGTGAGGGGAAAAGATTCCCTCTTAATCTTATTATGTTGATTTTTTAAATTATCTTCCTTCAATCAGAACAAACATCCATGAAGTAGACATCTAGACTTCTTAGCACCTGGAATAGTATTTGGCATAGAATAGGCACTCAGCAGGGACGCCTGGGTGGCTCAGTTGGTTGGACGACTGCCTTTGGCTCAGGTCATGATCCTGGAGTCCTGGGATCGAGTACCGCATCGGGCTCCCAGCTCCACGGGGAGTCTGCTTCTCTCTCTGACCTTCTCCTCGCTCGTGCTCTCTCTCTCACTGTCTCTCTCTCTCTCTCAAATAAATAAATAAAATCTTAAAAAAAAATAGGCACTCAGCAAATATTTGTTGTATGAAAGAATGATCATCTCAGCCATTATTTGATGTAAGTGCAATAATTACATCATATGTAATAATTAGAAATGGGTTAAAAAACTGAAGATAATGAACTTGTCCAAGATCACAACTTGTAGTGCTGGAGCTGGTTTAGCCAGTGCCTGTAAGCATTCCATAACATGTGTAGCATGTTAATCCAACCATCCTTTCATCTTTCATCCGTTTTACTTGGATATGACCACCTCAGCACATGACATAACCCCTAATCTTTCACTCCTCAAATCTGGGTAGCAAGTTAACAATGAAATAATTGGTAAACAAATTGTTTTTCTCCCATCAGTCTACTATTCAGAAATGTTGGTGGCGCTCTATAGAAATGAATGTTCCAGTGCACAGCACTGTTCCAAGTTTATTGCTTCCAAGTTTATTCCTATTTTGGTATTATCATTTTTGTTTGTTTTTTGTCTGTTTGTTTGTTTTTAAATATTTTATTTATTTATTTGTCAGAGAGAGAGAGAGAGAGCACAAACAGGGGGAGTGGCAGGCAGAGGGAGAAGCAGGCTCCCTGCAGAGCAAGAAGCCTGATGCAGGACTCCATCCTAGGACCCTGGGATCATGACGAGCAGAAGGCAGAGGCTTAACCAATTGAGCCACCCAGGTGTCCCAGTGTCATTTTTTCTGAGGTTATCCAGTCACCCAGAACATTGAACTAACGCTCAACATATTAGCATTTTATTTACACTAAATGAGTAAATCAGTAATTCTTTGATTTACAAAGTAAAGGTGCAAAAGTAAGGCTTAGTAAGCCTTAGTAATTTTCAAGGGAAAAATACTGAAGACTTAGCAAGTTGAATACTTATTAACTTATTATTTACTCACTGACCGAGTGAGTCTTTACTCTTTTAATATGATGCTATGGTCAGAGCCACAGACACATAAGAGTTAACTGTGAAGAAAAACTGCAAGGGAGGAACCTCTGGTTCCAGGTGACTAATCTTTTCTATAACCAGTTTTAAATAACCCTCAGAGCCAAAGAAATTTTATCAAAGGATTAAAACTTATATAAACAAAGTTCCCTTTATTTATATAACACTGATTCACTGCAGGGCAAGAAGCTCCACTCGCATTACATGTGTGCAGAGATTTATACACATTGGTTACTCAATGTGTACTTTTAAAAAAATCTGATGATCTTACAGTGTAGAAGGAGCAATGAATGGAGAGGATGGTCAATGAAAAGGTAAAGGGAGCTCATTTATTTGGGTTGTTGTGAGTTGCAATTCAGTTGTTTTTTGCCTTGAAAAAAAATAAGGTAAAGTTAATATTCAGAAATATAAGACTCTTTGGATTCTCTATTTACCTTGTCTCTAATTTCCCGATAGTGACAGATACTCTGCGTAATGCTAGATCATGTAATAATAATAATATTGCTTGTTCACACACAAATATATGAATATATACGTTGACTTTTTTCAAATATGTAGTTACAAATGGTTTAGAGCATTTGAAGTGAGCCGAAGTGATTCCAGATAATATTTCTTTCCTCCTGCTTTGCCCATGGTCTGAGAGACCCTCGTTTGGTTATCTAATTCCTCCAAACCCATCCTTCTCATTCTGATCAAGCCCCCTGTTTTCCATATCCCTCCTTCTGTCTCCCCTGAAATCCTAGAGCATTAGTTTTCTATACTATACACACACACAATACATACTTATTGGTGTTTTCTTTCAAAGTTCAAAAATGAGAGGGTCACCTGGGTGGTTCAGGTGGTTAAACATCCAACTCGGTTTCAGTTCAGATCATGATCTTGCAGTCATGAAATCAAGCCCTGTGTGGAACTTGCTTAAGATTCTCTCTCTCCCAGGGCACCTGGGTGGCTCAGTGGTTTAAAGCCTCTGCCTTTGGCTCAGGTCATGATCCCAGGGTCCTGGGATCAAGCCCCACATCGGACTCTCTGCTCAGCAGGGAGCCTGCTTCTTCCCCTCTCTCTGCCTGCCTCTCTGCCTACTTGTGATCTCTGTCTATCAAATAAATAAATAAAATTTAAAAAAAAGATTCTCTCTTTCCCTCTCTCTCTCCCCCTTCACCACTGCTTGTGCACACAAGCTCTCTCTTAAAAAAAAAAAATGAGAAAGTTATTTTTTAAAATCCCCAAATGACACAAAAATATAAAAAGTCAATTTGGTATATGTCATTTATATTTCTTTCCATACTCATATAAAAATATATATGACATATATATAATTATATACATTATATATATATATATATGTTCCACCTACTTTTAGTCATATGGATAGGATCATCATTATATATATGACTTACCTTGTTGCTGTATTCATTTAACTGTGTACCATAAACATTTCTCTAGGTCAGCACATAAATCTAAATCGTTCATGACCTATATACCTTAGAAAGACATATGTCTATTTCTATAAAATAGATTTCCAAAAGTGACATCACAGGAAAAAAAAATTCACAACTTTGCCATTTTTATACACCATTCCACTCGATGTTATGAGTTTTCAAAAATTTTGTTAGTTTGTTATGTGAAAAAAAATGAGGGTATTGTGCTGTTTCAAGTTGCATTTCCTTAGCTGCTAGTGAGATTTGGCATCTTTTAGAAAAAGGTTTTTTTATAAGCTTTTTGGTTCATTTGCATTTCCTCTTTTACAAAACCCAGCTTGTACCCATGTTTGTTTCTTTTCTTATCGACTTGTAAGAGTTCTCTTTTCACATTAGAGATATAAACTTCTTCCTTTTTGTGTATTTTAAACCTTTTCTTTTTCCTCTCTCTTTTTACCTTACTTATGATATTGTTTTGTCTTTGTGTAATTTGTAATATTACATAGTCAACTCTGTAAGTTTTTTCCATTATAGTTTCGTGTGTGTGTGTGTGTGTGTGTGTGTGTGTGTGTGTTTAAAGATTTATTTATTTATTTTGGTGGGGGCAGTAGGGGCAGAGGGAGAGAATCTTCAAGAACACTCCCCATTGAGCATGGAGCCCATGACCTACCTACCTGAGCCGAAATCAAGGGGCAGACATTTAACTGACTGAACCACCCAGGTGCCCCTTGTTTTTCTGTTTCTTTGGTTTTGTTTTGTTTTTTTTTTTTTTAAGAGTATTTTCCTGACCCTCACACTTTTCCTATTTTAAAAAGTATTTTTATTTTTTACAGTAAATATTTAATCCATTGCTCTTTTTCGTTTTGAACATGACGGTTAGGAGGGCTAACACTCTATTTCATTCCAGATAGAGATCTAATTATGATACTGATATCATTTATTAAAGAAACTGTATTTTTCCTGATGAACTATTATTGCGGTGTTTATCGTATATTACATTTTCATTTTTACTGGGTGTAGTAATGGACTGTTTTGTACCAGTGACTTGTTTACCTACTTCTTTTGCTCATGGCTTTCTGCTTTAATCAAATTAGTGATGCAGAAGGTTTCAGCATCTTCTCAGGCAGGTGCCTACCATCTTTTTCAGTTTCAGGGCAGTGTGAAGTGTTCTTTTGCCTGACCTTGAGCCTAGTGAGCATGACTTTCAGAAGTTTCCTCAGAGTACCTTATATTTGTCTTCTGCAGTTTGGAGGATACAGGAACTGGTGTCTGACTCATGCTAAAAAAGTCTAGAAGGCAAGGCTGTGGGTGGAACCTCCTGCCAGGAGGTGGAAGGAAGCAGGGGCTACATTTGAAAAGGAGCAACATCCCAGTCAATGGTGGGCCAACAGGCACTAGTTTGGGTCTTACATCTGGACTGATTGGATTATATGCAGCAGTGGTGAGACCCCAGCAGAGAGGCTAAAAGTGCACGGTGCATGTAAAAATTTGAAGAACTTGTGTGGACTGTCAGAGGAAGTACATTTACCCTGCGGAAGACGCTGCAAGTTAGTGTTCACAAATGAAGGGGAGCATCTCCAAAGACCCACGGAAAGGCCAGGAGAGTCTGTTTTAAATAACTCTGCAGACCAAAGAAAGCAAGGATGACATTTGCTGCTCTGTTAACATCCCTCATGTAAGTTTCAACTCTGGAGGTCACAGAAGCAACCTTGTCCAACTGTGGGGGGGAGGGCTGGAGTGGGGTTGGGTAGAGAGGCAGGAGAAGCTGTCAGAGAACAGAGAGAAACAACCAGGACCCCTTTTCCCAATTGTAGGATATGAATATGTTGTAGTGGGAGGAAAGAAGCTGCAATTTAAATGATGTTCAAATTCCTTTTTGTGGGACTAACACGACCAGAGGACTTTTTTTTTCTTTTGAAATTCAACAGAAAGTAGTGCAACCTGTCTGAGACTCCATTCAATATCAGAAAAAGAACTGGCCCCATAAAGTAAATTTTATAGGCAGTACAGAGAAAAGAGTAAGGCTTTTTGTCTGATTTCATAAATCCCATTTGCTCAGGGAACTTGTACTTGCGATCTATTTCTGTAGGTAAACACAAATACTGCTCAGGAGCACAAGGGTGGATTATTTCAACTTTTAAGTCTTTCTTCAATAACACGTCCCTTTCAGTGAATATGGACTTTCTCAGGAAGACACCAGGATTATATATTTGGCTTCTTTCAACCCTCCCTTTATGTCAGTATACTGTGGCTAGTTCTACTTAAGAATTTTCTACACATACATAACATTTTACCATCTAGTCTGAAGACATGTTTGTGAATCCTGGGGATAGATTTAGATTTAAAAGTATGTCATCTATGTCAGGATAGGGATTGGTAAGCACAGTCAAAGCACAGGAGTCAAATTTGGGCCACTTTATAAAGGGAGATTTTTTTAAAGTAGAATTTATCATTTATAATAATGATGTTAATTTCAGAAATTTAGATAGTATTTTAAACCTTCAAAATAGCTATTTATTTCTTAAAAGACAGGATGTAAATAGGATTACATGTCCTCTCTCTGAAATGAGAACAGCAAGTAGAAAATGTCTTAAGAGTTACTTAACAGAGGGACACCTGGCTGGCTAAGTCAGAAGAGCATGTGACTCCTGATCTTGGGGTCATGGGTTTGAGCCCCGCAATGGGTGTAGAGATTAAAGAAAAAAGAAAGAGTTACTTAATATAGCTACCTAGAGGCAGAACAAGGATACAGTGAAGCTCAAGTTTGACAACTTTTAGTTATTTTATCTAGCAATGGAGGTAACAAGAGCTACCAATGATTGAAACTTATGTCAGGCTTTCTCATAGGTATTTTACATCATTTGTCTCATTTTTCATTACATGCTATGTAGATGTCTATTCTTTTTAGAATCCAGCAAGAAGATTTAGATTTTTCCTACTTGAACCAATTCTATAAATCCTGACAAGATCCACCTAGATGGTCCCTTGGCAGTCCCAAAAAATCAGAGGTATTTAGGCTACTTGGGTTTAAAAGTTAATTCGGATGTGGCAGCAGGACCCTGGATGTTCCAAAATGTCACCTAAATGTGTGATGTAAACTGTAATGTGTTGCTAATGTAGGAAAAGAACTGGATAATGTAGACCAGGTTCCACATTGGTTTGACTGGCCAACATTTTTTGTCTTCCAAATTAGAAATTTTTCTGGCAGTAACAATCCGTGATTTCATCTACTTTAGGAAAATATAATATGGTGATCCAGTGAAACTGTATGAATTTATTTGATTCTCAAATGAAAAAACAACCAGTGAAATAGCCAGTGAAAAGCCCAGAAGAGGCACCTCATTTTGAAAACCTCTTAGTTTCTTTTCCTATCCTCCTTCTTTTATTTCAGTGAGGGTGTGATTTTTTTTCTTCATTTGCTAGTATTACTTATGTCATATGTGGTATATGCATTTCTATTATTTATGCTGTAAATCTTGGTGTAAAAATCTATGCTAAATGTGGCTAAATGGTAAGACTACTTAATATCTAAATTTGGTATGAACTACAATGTCAGAAAACCTGAGTGGCTCAGTCAGTTAAGCCTCCAACTTCATTTGGCTCAGATCATGATCTTAGGGTCCTGGGATCAAGCCCTGGTCTGACTTCAGACTCCCTGAGCCAGGAGTCTGCCTGAGATTCTCTCTCTCTTCTTCTACCCATCCCCCAACTTGTGGTCTCACCCTCTTTCTCAAAAAAATAAATATAATCTTTAAAAAATAATAACCACAGCTAAAATTTCCTAAATGTAGTGTAACCAGGTAAAATTATATACTAAGTGCTTTCCATGCATTATATCTATCCTTTGATGATATCTTTTTCATATGTAAATGAAGGAATTGCAGTTAAATGAAATTAAGAAATGTATTCAAAGTTTTGAAAAGAGCCTGGATCCTAATAAAGGTCAGCCTGATTCCAAAACCCACCCTTCCCACTACAGTAGCAGCCTTACTGTGGTAGCTTCCAATATCCTGTTGATTTGTTTCTCTTCACCATGACAACAGGACATCCTTGAAGTGCTTAAATTTACTTTTCTATTATGGAAGTTGAACACACTTAGACAGTATCTCCTGGGTATAGATAAATATTAATTATAAACTCAAATTCAAAGAAAGCTCCAGAAACTGACTTTGAATGCCAAAGTTCTCAAAGAATTTGGTTCTGTTTCAGAGTCTCTTTCCAGTTCACTCTCTGTAGGTGGCGGACTCCGGACAAAAGGGTTCCCAAGGATCTGATACTCTCTGAGGAAGCCAGAGGAAGCTTCAGAGAAACAAAAGGTTTCCATTGTATTGCTCTTTTCACTGTTTCCTCCTGCCAGCCTTCTGTACCCTACTGACCCAGGCTACATTTAGGATCCTTATAACCAGAGTAAAATTGGTGTTTTTAACATTGTCATGGCTAACAGTGTGCAAGAAATGGTGACAAATGAATGTAGGCTTCAAAGCCCCACTGGAGGTAACCAGGACCCTTTTATGTCTTTTTCTCCTGCTCCTTCTCCCTTTTCTTCCTTGTAACCAGAGTACCTCCCCTGCTACCCCCACCCCCAAATACCCTTCTTTTTCTTGTCTTCAGGGGCCTTTTCCATTCTCCAGGGGTTTATTCTTAGGTAGCTGTTAACATACTTCAACTAGGTGTTAGTTAATAGTAAGGATTTGCCTGTCAAGAGGGATTTGACTTTTATCGAGGGACTTTTGAACTAAAAAGCCTTTAAAATGCAAAATAATAGATTTCAAATCACAGACAGTTATGGTGGCTAATTGGGATTGGAATTTTGCTCAAATAAGAGTTGTTGCTTATTCAGATCATTCATATTTCTGGAAATGGAGGCAGGTATTCTGTAAAATAAAGTCAATTATCGCCAACAGTTTTATCACAACTATATGCCTTCAGGTGAACTTACACTAAGTACTTCAGGATGTCAATTACATAGGCCCCATGTTCACTTGTTTATAGAATAATCAAAATGAAGATAATTATTTTTTATAATTTTTTGATAAAATTAATTTTCCTTTTTATAATTCTTGTCCTTGATTTCAACTTTAAAAATATTGAATTTATTAATATATAGTTTTTTATATATGTGGTAATATTTCTGACTACTTAAATTCCATCCTTTAAAAATTTTAGAAGTTCTTCTTACTCTTTTATGTATTTATTTATTTATTTGACAGACAGAGATCACAAGTAGGCAGAGAGGCAGGCAGAGAGAGAACGGAGGGAGGGGGAAGGGAAGCAGGCTTCCTGAGATCATGACCTGGGCCAAAGGCAGAGGCTTTAATCCACTGAGTCACCCAGGTGCTCCTCCTGTTACTCTTCTAAGCTACTTCCAAGCCAGGTAAATTCTACCAGATGTGATTTTTCTATATTGTTTCTGCCTATTTCTGCCTTTTTCTTGTAAGGATTTGTGGGCCACTTCTTACTGATCATGACCTTTCTTCTAGGTAACAAAAGGAATGTTTCTCACAGCAAAGAGGGTGGATTCTTAGAACCCGCATCTTTTATGGTTCTGTCAAAATTTTGTAATTCTAGATGTGGTTGTGCAGGCAAATGCCTTTGCATATTGGTAATTGGAGCAGGAAAGGTATCTTGTGATACAAATCCTGTTTGGGATTTGAGTAGATTATTGTCATTATTCTATTTCCCTTTTTGTTTCTTTGAATACTTCTCATTGTTTTGAGCCCACTTTTGTTACCTACCTTTATCCCTCCCCCTTTTAAATCCTTTTTGTTTGCTGTCAATAACAAAAGCCCCCACTATAATACCATATTGTTCCTTTCTTTGTGTGCAGTTACCATGGCTGTAATAGCTATCACTCAATGATTGAACACCCGAGATAGGTGACGTACATTGCATATTTTATTCCTACTCTTTAATAAAACCCTCCAATTATTATCCCCTGCTTATAAAGGGTGTAAGCTGTCATAATTAACTTTATCACATATATCATAAATTTATATTATTTTCACTCATTCATTCATTTGTTCATTTTTCATAGAGTAAATTTAGTTAACCAATATACATTGAGTGCCTGTTATGTTCGAGTAATAGGCTTAATTACTGTGGGGATTACAGAGATGACTCAAACATCCTACTTCCTTGTCCCCAGGAAGTTTACAGACTACATGAGGAAATAACATCCATGCATATATAATGAAAATACAAGATTGAAACTATGAACATCATCAAGATATTCTTGAAATTCTGACCACTAAAGTATATTCAAATACCAAAGTGAGCTGAATAAACATTTATTCAGTGACCAAGAGTAATACAGATAATAGTCTGTGTAAATCCAGAGAAGAGCTAAAAGGATCATAAGAGATCCCCTGGAGAATGTGGTATTTGAGCAGAACCTGGAGGTAGATTCCTAGAGGGTCAAGGGAGAATATTGCAAGGTAAGCAAATTAGATGACCGGTGTTGTGGCGTGTGTGAAGCATGCAGAGGTTAATACATAAGAGAAGTGCTAGCAACACAGTTAAAAACAGTCTGAACTCTCGTGGGAAAGACCTTAGTGGAATATCTCCAAAATGAGGCCTATTCACTCAGCAGAGTTTCTGTTACACCATAAAAGAAAATTTTCTTAGTTGTATACTGAACAAAGACATAAAAGTCTCAATAAAAAACTCAATATGAAA